TTCCCCCTATAAAGGAATGGATTTAGCTACAGCTATCCTCTAGTGACGTCACGTTTAGCCACACCCACTGACAGGAAGTAACCTGGCAGAAAGGGAAAATGGGCATTTTGAAGGCTCATATCTCAGTGAATAATTTTTTTCAGACAATGGGAGTTGGAACACATCATTAGTATGGTCAGGCAATCATATTAAGCAAATAAAAAAAATATCTCAAAAATGCACTGAAGTTACCCTTTAACATATGTTACATCAAAGGCTGTCACAACGTCTTTGCTTTTTTTGAAGCATTACTCTTTCCTGTCACTGGTGGCAGTATGCCATCTACTGTTCAGCATTTTATGGCAGCTCTGAACAATTTGTCATTGTAACTGTCAGTACTTTTTGCATTTTTTTCAGTTATTTACTTTCATTTTGAAATGTGGAATCATTTAATGCTTACAATACAAGTGGTTGTGGTACACTTAAAAGGGTGGCTGGTACACTTAAACAATTGTGTGCAATACACTTAATACAAGAGTATATGATACACCAGATATAGTGTCTGTATTGGGACAAGCGTGATACACTTTATTTGGTGTTCACAGTACACTAAAATTTTTGCAGTGATATAGGTACTGTAGCTAAAGGGAGTAATGGAAATGGAGAGACTGGGTCAACTACTACTAGGAGAGGTGATATTGAATATGGACACAATATTATTGATATTTTATGTCATTATTTATAGGTACTGTAACTAAAGGGAGTAATGGAAATGGAGAGACTGGGTCAACTGCTACTAGGAGAGGTGATATTGAATATTGACACAATATTATTGATATTTTATGTCATTATTATAGGTACTGTAACTAAAGTGAGTAATGAAAATGGAGAGACTGGGTCAACTGCTACTAGGAGAAGTCATATTGAATATTAACACAATATTATTGATATTTTGTGTCATTATTATAGGTACTGTAACTAAAGGGAGTAATGGAAATGGAGAGACTAGGTCAACTGCTACTAGGAGAGGTGACATTAGCACAATATTATCGATACTTTGTCATTATTATAGGTACTGTAACTAAAGGGAGTAATAATGACGATGGAGAGACTGGGGTAACTGCTACTAGGAGAGGTGATATTGAATATTGACACTGACAATATTATTGATATTTTGTGTCATTATTATAGGTACTGTAACTAAAGGGAGTAATGGAAATGGAGAGACTGGGTCAACTGCTGCTAAGAGAGGTGATATTGAATATTGACACAATATTATTGATATTTTATGTCATTATTATAGGTACTGTAGCTAAAGGGAGTAAGAACAATGAAAAGACTGGGGTAACTGCTACTATAGGAGAGGTGATATTGAATACCAACACAATATTATTGATATTTTGCATCATTATTATAGGTACTGTAACTAAAAGGAGTAATGGAAATGAAGAGACTGGGGTAACTGCTACTAGGAGAGGTGATATTGAATATTAACACAATATTATTGATATTTTTACGTCATTATTATACAGGTACTGTAACTAAAACTATGGACAATCCAGAGACAAGAAAGACTGTTAGGAGAGGTGATATTGAATATTGATGCAACTGGGATCTATTTGTGTAATTATAGGTACTGCAACTGTTGAAAGCATGGAAGAAATAGGGTTTTGCTATTGTGGTAGACCAGAAGAAGGAGACATGGTAGCATGTGATGGCAAATCATGCAAATACACATGGTTCCACATAACTTGTCTCCGGCTTAAAAGTTTGCCTAAAACTAAATACTGGTTTTGTCCTGACTGCAAGGTGCTCCAGCATAATTAATTTACTTTGTTATTATTACTAAGATCTGGATAAAGTATCAATAAATCATGTTATTAATAAAAATAACAATTAATTAATTACCTGCTTGTTATTAATTACCTGCTTGTTAGCCACGCCTACTGTTGCGGACACCTAACAAATTTGGCTTTGTTTGTTACAGTGCAAAAGATTGGGCTGTATTTTATGAAATCTGCAAAAAGGGAGGACCATATAGAGAAGCTTTATCCACTTTCTTAATTTTCTACTGCTGTCTATTCAGGGAATTTATTTCTGTACGAGGATTTTTTGCGTGGGCCGAATATGAGTATTTCCGATTTCGATTTTTGGCAAAAAATTGTAAGAAGACGAAGACTTCTTGTGCTTTGTTTATAACATGTATTAATAGGATTATCATTAAAGTTTGTAAAAATATATAAGACAAGTCTGTAGCAGATAAACTGATCCAGTAATAGTGTCCGAGATTACATGTTATCCGAACATCCGTTAATTACTCTAGCCACGTGCCATGTTTATCTGCAATGCAGATTAATGCTAAGTGCTGACCACACCTATAGTTTATTTTATGGTTAGTGCAATTGCAGTTTACTCAAAATATATTATCCTTTTTTCAAATATCAAGTTGCTTATATATATCTTGATGGGGCAGTACAAGTAACACATTATCCCTCAGGTGAATCTCAGCAGGCGAGTCCACTAACCATGGTGCTTCATTTATTATAGTAATTAAAATTATATTTTAATTTCATTACTCATCAGGGTTTCCTTTCCTTTCTTTAATTTTCCTTTTTAGTTGAAGCCAACTTTATTAAGGAAGAGTACAAATTTATTGGTACTCTACAATACCTCTGGAGACACCTTTTAACCCTGACTTAACTCCATCTATGGTATCAAGGGTTTTTTTGCAATCTGAATGGGCCCCTCTTCTAAATCAACTTCCTGACAATCAAAGATTTTGGGGATTATAGAGAAATCTGTTCTGCTTATGAAATAGGGGCTCCTCCCCACGCTTTTTATAAGCCAAAAGGTTTGTACAACCAGGGCTGCTTTATGAATGGCCTCAGAGGTCGATAAATACATTTCTGATGAGATCAAAGCTGTTACTTTACTTCTTTCTAATTAGTAATTAAGAAACAGTTCGTTTATCAGGGCTTTTCAAGTACCTTTACTTCAAAGAAGGGCCTATGGACAGGATGTTCCAGACAAGATATTACTCCAATGCTCGTTCAAATTTCAAAAGAAATAACTGATCAAAATTAATAGTGAATATGATTGTTAGACATACTCGTCCCATTCGTATAGTCGAATGTGAAGGTTTCAGGGCACTTACTCATTGTCTTGAACCAGATTTTGTCATGGCAAATAGACACTATATCAAATTAATTGTTTTTAGAAAGCACAACGAAGCTAAATCTAACCTTATTATCATAGTCTCATCAGTCAACTCACTCTCTCACACAATGAATATATGGACAAGCAACTTATATACATATAGTTACTGTTCATTTCATCGCTTAGTGGGAAATAAGATGATTTTCATCAGGTACGAGAGAGTTTCCTGGTCATCATACTGGTGCAGCCATATCTGATGCCATTGCAGAAATTTGTTTGGAGTACAATACTGAGAACGAAGTCTCAACTATAGTGCATGATGCAGCATGAAATGTGCTATTGTCACTTCGAATACTTGGAGACTATGCAGATAAGAAACATTTAATACATTACCCACAGACTGCAATTGTGTTCAAGGAAGGGATTGTCTGTGGATGTAATTTATGGCATGTTTAGTGCCAGTTGCAAGTCAGAGTACTAGTATTGCAAATCTTGTCACGTCTAATTAGCTGCTGCAAGTCATTAGTTTACAATACCAATTAAGCATCAATCTTTTCAAATTATGAATAAACAAATCATAGGAGGTAGCTATTTCTCTTTTCAACATTATTAATGGAAGCATAGTTATGACAAGTGGTTACCAGCAAATGCAAAATTGCGGTTTTTTGTTGCAAGGCTTCCATATAGTAGTCTCCCTAGCACTTGAAGATCTCACTCATAATCATTAATATTAAACAGAATAATTTATCAGTGCTAATTAATGAAGCTATAAAATTAATGCAGTGAGTTGCACAACCCTCAACTCACTAGCCACGCCATTAGACAATAGCCTCCTAAGTCTTCAGGAGGTCAGAACCTTAAGTCAATGTCCTGAAAACCTAGCACAAAGCCCAGTATTTAAACACTAACTTGAAATGCACATGACTTCAGGCATAAGGAGTTATTATATTCTATAAAAAAAGTTAATGTGCTAAAGTTATACTACAACAACACCACTAAAACAAAATGTAATGTGAGTAATATAAAACAGTTACAAAATCTCTCTAGATCTACAACAATAAATATAACTTAGATTGCAATAATAATTGACAAAAAAATTAGCTAAAAACATTCACTATGAAAATTTCACTAAGGACAAATGGAGCTACACCACCAGAACTTGGCCCTCTCATTTCACAAGTGTATGCCCCACTCATTGACAAACGAGCTCCACCATTTGACTGCAGTAAAGCTTGACGACCTGTTGGATGCCGTATAACACTAAGTCCAACAATTTGGTCAATATTGACCCATTGAACAGAATAGCCACCACAAGAACAATTTAGAGTACAGCTTACACTGAAATCTGAACCAACTGTAACATTTAGTGATCCACGCACAGGATTAAAGGCAAGTGATTCAGGCTCTATAATAGAAAAGACTAATAATAATGTATTGATTGCCTGTGAAGGCGTACAGCTACTACAATATTAGTAACAAAGTAGTGTTACTAAGTAGGATTCACCCCCAATCAAAATGGCTGCCACAATTTTTTAGCCTTGCAATACACCATTACACGATAAGCAACAGGTGGAATCTTAAAGAGATATAAATAGTCTTTAAAATAGGACACGGTCAGGCTACACCTAATGGGAAAAGATTATGGTTGTGTCTATGGTGGAGATGCCTAAAATCGGCTGTTTAGTCAATGGCAACATAATATTTGGGTAAAATGGATTACGTTTCCTTTTTCGCTCTTAATGATGAAGAACGCTTTAAAGGATGAACAGCAGCTGTGAGACGTAGTCTATTAATACTGTTCCTCAAGAAGTAAAAACAAAAGGTCAAAGGCTTGGAATATAGTTAGAATGAGTTAAGTTCTCCTGCAGCTTAATCATATAAGTGAGTGCTTTGACTATTTACAAAAGAATATTTTACGAGTAATAACATTAGCTCTTTCTTAGCTAGCAGTGCTTTCGACTCACGTCTTTCCACCTTTTGCAGCGTTCCTCATCAATAAAGGAAATTTTTTAAATGGAAGCTTTCTACAACCTAGTGGTGTAGCCCCCAGGTCATCCTATTATTGAATTTACCATGTGCGAATACAAATGTATGTCCACACTTACATTATTTCTATACATGTTGTATTGGAGAAATAACAACCCTAACAACAACCTTTCAATGCTCCTTTACGTGTATGTGGCCATGGCAACCAAAATCGCGGCTTACACACAAGACGAATTGTCATAGAAACAGACTTCTCTGGAAGCATTTGAAGGTAAAGAGAACCTCTATAAGTCTTAATACTATCCATGTAAGGCGGCAAAACAAATTATAGGTGTATTTTTACACTGTTATGCTTGTTAATTTTTTACAACCTGAAGGCAAAGTCCCAGGTTGTTCCTATAATTGCTTTAACCCACGTGAGATGTACTATAATAATTGTATGTCAAAACTTATGTCTCTTCTATACACATTGTACTGGAGAAATAACAAGCCTTAGCACACACCCGCTCATGCTTGTTTTATGCTGTGGGTGTGGCTACTGTAAACAAAATGGCAGTTTACACACAGGACCGAGGGGTCCGCAATGGGCTTGTTATCCCGTAGAACCTCCTTGGTAATCCACTAATCCAAAGAATAATCTTGGATTAATCCACTAATCTTGGCAGAATTCTGTAATCTGTAATCCAGGATTTAACCAAATTTACAGAATAATATTTCTAATATAAACTGGAAATATTCAGAATTAAGACCACACCAACTGATTATTAATCAAAATTATCAATACCACTCTCACTAAAATTAATTGCATGTGGCTTAAAACCTAGCAATAATAATAATCCAAGTAATTTAGCTTGTTATCCCTGGTAATCCTAAGAATCTACTGATAATCTTGGTAATCCACTGATAATCTTGGAAATCCACTTATAATCTTGGAATTCCATTTATAATCATAGCTTGGCAATCCAGGTAATTTTTTGTAATCTAATAGAGATTTTCCTCCCGTTGCGGGCCCCTCGCACAAGACAAAATTATGAGCTTTCTGACAGCAAGAGAACACAGCGATACTGTCTAAACACTTCTCTACAAGCATTAGATGGTACAAGTACCTCTATAAGGCTAATTAATTCCCAGCTTTGTTGCAAGGTAGTGAAAACAATTATAGGAATATTTTTACTCTGTTACACTTGTTTAATACCCTACCAGATATTGCATTCGACAAAATAGCAGTTTTCAGGCATCTCCACCATAGACACCTCTACAATTCTTCCTCAATGGTTGTAGCATGACCACACCTTAGCGTGAATACAAATTACATCTGAGTAATTTTTAACCAGTCATGTAACATGAAAAGTTTTATAGAAAGGAGTTCCTATCGTTACCTCACTTCATAGAGAACCTTATTTTGACAAAAAAATGCAATTGTACCACTAGTATGACTCTAAATCCTTTCTTAAAAAATTGCAAAATCAGCAAACTTGACACACCCATAGCCAAGGAGGTTTGAACAAGGCCCCTATTGTAGCTGCAAAAAAATTTTGGATTAACTCCTGTCTTGAAGAACAGCACTGCAAAAGCAGGATTGGCATTTTGGCAGCAGCAAGAAGCACAAATAGCCATATTAGCTAATTCAGTACTTGGCTGAGATGCGTAAATTGAGACCACACCTACTGACCAATCCCATTTCCCCCATTTTCCTCTGGTTCAAGCTTTGTCAAAATAGAATATGGCATGTATTTTGATCATGGATGGTGCTACAAGGATCATTCTTAAACTATTCTACTATGTGCAGGTCCATGTCCCATCAAATCATTCTTCAAAATAGAAAAATATTGACTGCTGGATCGTACCAACTTGTCCTATGCTGCCATGACATAAATTTAAGAAGCATGTGATCCAAAATGGGCGTGTGTTTGCGCATACTTAGATCTCAAACTGACTAAGTGAGCAAAATTTTACCTAGCTATGCTTGGTTATGCTTGGATCAACTGCAAGGTTTCTAACTAAGGTAATAATTTGGACATTATTGTTTTATTAAGTGTGTGATCATTATATTTTTATTCAAAAAAGTTAAATAATAATGCAATGATAATATGAACTTGACTGATAAGTAACAATAGGAAGAAAGGGTTGCACTTGCAGGGATAGATGAAGCACCAATAGTGCGAGGATTCACCTGCTGACATTCACCTGAGTGATGCATTACTTATATGTGTTAATTGATTCTGATTTTAGCATGAAATAAATCATACATTGGTGTGGTCTCTAGCACAGATACTAGAATACAACTTGGCTGAATGAATTAACCTTTTAATGTGCTGTAGAACAACTATAATAACTTAGGAGAGCTCAGTAAAAATGACATTTCACCAGAAATTAATGGGAATTTTTGTTACACAGTGACAACCCAACTGCTTAATGCACGTGTAGGCAAGCCAGGCAAGTCCAATAATCTCACTGCTTCTTAAACAAGAAGGACATGTGTCAAGACTAGTAATAATTTCACTTGTCATTAGTGTAGCAGATATTCTTTCTGTACATTTACTCAGCATCCCAATACTGCATCTAATTTTCTCATATCTAGGTGCTGTAAATTCATGAAACAAACATAGAACAAGTACCACAATAGCAAGTAAGGAAATGCTACAGATACTACAGAATCAAGTAAATTAAAATTTTCAAAACTAGATTAAGTAGGATGCACTAGGTGCTAATTTGTCAAAAAAAGTAATGGACAAGTGGAATTCCAAAGTGACAAACAAAAATACAAAAGAACAATCCAATATTTTTTAGCAAGTTTTACTTATCATTTCAAAGTGATTAATAATTTCTCCCATAAGAAAGTTAAAAGTACAGTACAGTGTTTTAAGAGAGCTGAGCCCACTACATTTGAAGAAGCTTGCTGTAGTCCTGATAAAGACAAATGGAAAGAAGCTATGGAGAAGGAAATAGCGTCACTTAGAGCAAATGATGTGTTTGATTTAGTAGAACTACCTGAAGGGAGGAAAGCTGTTGGAAGCAAATGGGTTTACAAACGTAAACTGAAAGCTGATGGAGCTGTTGAAAGGTTTAAGTCAAGGTTGGTAGCTCAAGGTTATTCCCAAAGGCTGGACAGGATTATGACGAAACGTTTAGTCCAGTTGTCAGGTTTGAGCTTATCCGCTCAATCATTTCAATTGCTGTACAACATAATATGCTACTACATCAAATGGATGTTACGTCTGCCTTTCTCAACGGTGATCTACAAGAAGTATACATGAGACAACCCGAAGGATTCCAAGTTAAAGGAAAAGAGCACATAGTCTACAAGCTGAAGCAAAGCATGTACGGATTGAAACAAGCTTGGAATATGACTCTGGATCATCTGTTAAAAAGGATGGGATTTGTACAAGCCAAAAGCAACCCATGCCTGTATATTACCTCAGAAGGAGAACTGTGTATAATAGCTGTTTATGTCGATGATATCTTAATAGCCACAAAGGATAAGGAGAAGATGAATGATGTGAAAAGTAAACTATCAGCTGAGTTTGAAGTCAAAGACCTTGGTGAGTTGCAGTATCTTCTTGGTATTTCAATTATTCAGAATCATTAAGAAAGATTGGTGTGGATTGGTCAACCAACTTATACTCTTAATATTCTACAGAAATTTGGCCTTCAAGATGCTAAACCAGTTGCAACTCCCATGTGTGTTAGCTCAAAGCTGAGAAAAGCCACAGATGATGATGAACTGGTAGATGAGAATTTATATCAATCAGCAATAGGAAGTTTGCAGTATCTATCTACAATGACTAGACCAGACATTACATTCGCTGTGTCCAATGTTGCAAAATACAGCTCAAAGCCAACGAAAGAACACTGGGTTGCAGTTAAAAGGATAATGAGATATCTTAAAGGAACTCACAATCTAGGTCTCATTTACAGAAAGAGTGACTTTAATGGCTGTATTGGTTTTTCTGACTGTGACTGGGCTGTGATCTAGATGATCGGAAATCAACCTCAGGACATTTGTTTCAGGCTGGTGGAACAGCAGTCAGTTGGAGAAGTAGAAAACAATCGTGTGTGGCACTGTCAACTGCTGAGGTCAAATACATAGCCTTATCACAAGCAGCACAAGAAGCAATATGGTTGAGGCAACTGAATATCGATTGCAACCATTAAGGAAACAATCAGAGACTACAATCTTGTTCGAGGATAATCAAGTTCCAATATGCTTAGCAAAAAATCCACAATTTCACAGAAGGTGAAAACATATTGCCATTTTATCCAAGAACACATCAACAATTGAGACATAGAACTAAAGTATTGTCAAACAGACAATATGATGGCAGACATGCTGACAAAAGGACTAGCGAAAGAAAGATTTGAAAAGCTGAGAATGCTTGCTGGAGTTTCAAAACAATCAAGTTAAAGTGAGAAGGAGTA